CACTGATATTAAGCTTCTCCGCCATCACTTTGCACAGGTGCAGAGGATTTGATTCCTGTGTGTTTCATTCAGCAAGGACAACAAGTGGTCACCATGTATGTTGTTGAAAAAAGGTATTGGCAATGAATAAATTGTTGATCTTGCAAAATTCTATCTGTCGATCTCTCATGTTGCTTCTATCACTAAGGCCATTTTTAAACTTTCACATTCCAATAACCAACAATTATCAACGCATCTTGATTGTACCTTTTATTAATTTCAGACTAGAAAAGCTGGTAAGGTCTTCAGTTTGTTCATCTTTGACTTTAGTGGTTTGGGCATAAACTTGAATAAGAGTTGTATTAACTGGTCTTCCTTGTAGGCACGTGGATGCTATCCTATCATTGATGGTAGTGTATTGCTGGATAGTTCTTGAATGAGGATGGATTCTGATGATGAATGAGGCACTTTTGAGCTCCATTCTCTTTCCCAGCACAGCGGACCATATGATTGTCTGACTCACAACAGCCTAAGCAGTCCATCAGCTCTTTAATATCTAGGATCTTAATCTTTATTTGTTCCATTCATTTTTTGACTTCTAGTTATTCTCGATTCACACGTTCCATATTCTAATTGCTAACGGGTGGTTTGTTTTTTGTTCTTATTTCAAATCATGCCCCAGCAGCAAATGAAGGTCCGGAACGCTGGGCTCTCTTCCACTTCATTAAAGTCTCTACCGGGAGGCGGCACCTCTTTCCCAGTCCCCTTTTGAGTGTCTTTCCACCTGAAGGGCATGGTCATCTTTGTCACTGGCTAAGTTTCCAAGGAGAGGATCACCAGGTCCTTTTTCCTAGCCTGTCTTCAGTCTGGAAGCTGCGTTGAACTCTGACCCCCCGGGGTGACCTTGCTGGTTTGAAACTCTGGTGTCACGAGCGACAAATTGACAGGCAAGTGGTGGAAAAACCTGTGACAGAAATCCCACTGACGAGCGACAACGGGGTGTGGGTGGCGGTAGTTTCCTCAGCCCACTAAGACGAGGCGCGTCTGCCAGCGCGGTTCCACGGACGTAGCGGGCGCGGCTCGGGGTCTTTCCGGGGCGGCCCCGAGCGCCGGTCTACGTCTCGCGGGACGCCGCGGCCGGCCGTCGTGCGCCTGCGCAGTGGCGTCGGGCGACGCCGCGCCTCG